GTACAAGCAGTAAAGTAATGGCAGCTGTGACTGGCACTGTCACTGACACACACACAGGTGGATTCCTCAATGGCTGATATTGTTCACTTGCTGCATGGCTGTGACTGAGAGCAACATGCTGAATTCATTATTACTGGTTATCTGTTATCTGCAAACCTCGTGTTAAACCAGGCTTGCTGATAAAACGAGATTTTTGGAACCAAGAACTTCAAGGAAACAATTACTGACAGTTTAGCATTAATAATTTAAAAATTAAATACGTAGCAAAAAATGTATCTTCTTCACCCTTTAGTATTTAACTTATCTTTTAACATCAAAGCTATAAACCCTGTGTCAGAATATGTGATGAGATTCTGCTGAAAGTCACTAGCAATGGTATAACAATACTAAAATTATTTATGTCAAGCTACATAAATGAGCTAGACCTTGGTTCAAAGAGAAGATGAGGTTTTATGTAAATTAAAACAGATTTTTACTGGCCACTAATCAAGTGCTTACCTGTTTCCATTCAAACTACATTGAGTTTAATCAGTATGCCTTCTAATGAATACATTTTTCCCTAAAAAAGGAGCGTATTTATCATGAATATTTATATTGGATTTTAAGTTCATGAAAGTTTAATTTAAATAAAAAGTGAGGTGGTTTCCTCAGAGTTGAAAGCTAGCATACTCAGATCCTATTCAAAAGTTGTAAAAAAATTTTCAAATTAATGGTCTCCAAAGATTTCTTAGCATTCGGGATTAAATGTCTTTAATTGCAAAAGGCTTGATTGTAACTACAGTTAATGGAATGCTATCTGTACATAAATATAAACGTATTGTTTCTTATAACTAAAGAGAACTATCACTGAATAATTCAGAAATGGGCAGATTACAGAATATTTTAAATATAAAACATGTAGATATAACTGCACCTTACTCAAATCTCTGGGGAAAAAAAAGGCCTGTGTATGTTTATTTCTGTGAATATATATTGTATGTACACAAACAGAAGTGAAGCATTTCATGCTGTAAAGAGAAACCAGAATACAAGGAAGCAGGGAGTTGATGAACAAGGAAATAATTTTATGTTCTCTAGCAATTTAGAGTCTCTCCTAATTTGTCCTGTCTTTTCACAGGAAGCGAGACAGATCGCCAACAGCTCAACTTCCTATGAGTAGTTGATGCTTGATGACACTTGAAGTTAAGCCCTTAATAAAACCCTAGTTCTGTTGACATTGATTTGACACTTATCATGGACTGGAATAAAGCCTGACAGACACCCCTGTTATTCCAACAACAGAGCTACATTTTCTTTGACCTTCAAGGTTTATCTCAGATAAGCCAGTGGCAACGGAGCTGTATTGAAGGTGTAGTATTGCTCATGATGCTCTTTAAACAAGCCCAGAAGTCCACGTGCCAAAGGCTGTCAGCAGGCTGGTGATCACTGCTCGTCACTGTCACAGTGGTTTGGCAGTGCTGTTTAGTCACTGAGTTAGCTAAGTGTTGCTGAAAGATGAAGGGCTGGATACAAATGATGTAGATGTTTGTGAATGGATGCACTGTAGTGTGATACTGGCTGTCACTCAGATTCACAGAGTGTAGAAAACGTTATTCCTTGCTGGAGGAGCTTGGTCTCAGCACTTTGAAGGGATTTCTGTTGTACAGAATGAATCCTAACAGACAAGACAAACTGCAAAGATATTACCTGAGGAGAAAGCAGCAAACATGAGCAGGGATAAATGTTGACAGAGGTCATTCATACTACATGCAAGTGAGATCTTGAAAGCCATGGAAATGAGTTCCATGAGTTCCTTGAGGCTTTAATATAACCAGGGTTTTGCTCTTGATTGCTAATCTGGACACTTGCTACTTTTAAGTTCTTGTACTCTCCCCTGCCTTGCTTTTCAGCAGTTTTGGCTTGATAAACAGCATTGACATTGTTGGTTAAACTGACTTCAAGTGTTTTGATCGAGACTTGGCTTAACAAGGTATAGAATGTAGCCCCCTTTCTGTTGAAATGTTAGCTCTATAAGATGTGTAATAACTGCCTTTATTCAGTAACTATATTACCTCACATTTTGATAGATAATTTCTCTCTAAAAGAATTTTACTGGTGAGTCATCATTGGCCAAAACTGAACAAATTTCTCCCACTGGCAAGAATGATGGTCTAAGAATCAGACAGGGAATGGCAATGGAGAGGTAGGAATGTTCTTGTATGCCTACTCTTGAATACAGTCAAGTTGGTTTCCAACTTTTGACTTATGTGTCTCCCACAAAAAGAAACAATAAACATAAGTTCATTACTTTTTACTTTAACAAGTAGTTCCCAAAATATTTAGCATATATTTAAGAAATCTCAGGTTTTGTCTCAATTTTTATTTTTGCTTTTAAAACAAACAAATCAAAAACTCCTGTGGAATATAGCCCTTGTGTGTCAGAGAACTGTAGCAAGTTAAAAGACAAAGAAAAGGAATCGATTCAAAACTATTTTTAATCTGGAGAAAAGGAACATTAGATTTCATAAAATGCTTCTTGTAAACGTTCCTTCCGCATCCCAGTGATCATAGTTTGTTTTTTCTTGGTGACTGCCTCGCTGGAGTTGTGAGGTACCTAATGCAGTCATAACTTGCCATCGCGTGGCATATTTGTGCATTACCATGGTTAAAATTCCTCCAATCACTTAAGGATTTTTACATTCAAGAAAGTGTAGATCATCGTGTGTAGGCCCTCATTAAGGCATCTAGTCTAGCCTCTCATTAGATAGTTAAAAACCTCGAGGGGGAGGTAACCATTGTCGATTTATCAATCACGGCATTCTTAATTAGGCTCAAATGATGCATAAATTATGCACGGATGAGCCTGGCGGGTTCCCCCAGATCAGCGGCCAGTGCTGCCCCCGGGGCTCGGCTGGTAGGGAACGGACACACGAACTGACAACGGACAAATGGACTAATGGACACACGGACTGATGGACACACAGACTAACAACGGACACACGGACAAACGCGGTAATGGACAAAAGCACTAACAGACACACGGACGAACAAACACACGGACCAAGGGGCCCGGCGCTCCGGCAGCACCGCGGAGGCTGCAGCGGCGACTCTACAGCCCCGCTCCCTGTTACTCTTGCCCTTCCTCCTCCTGTCCTTCTCTCTCTCTCTCTCTCTCTCTCTCCCTCTCGAGCTCTCCCGCCGCTCCCTCCCCGCCCCGGGCCCGGCTCTGGCCGTTCTGGATGCGGCGCTGCTGGGCGGGTATCAGTGGAGCTGATGACATCTGGAGCTGACCCACTGTCCCTGGGCTCGGCCTGGCGCGCCGTGGCTCCAGGGGGACACATGCCCTGCGGACACTCCACGCCTCCCGCGGTCCCGGGCCCGAGCTCCGCCGCTCGGCCGCCGGTAGCCGAGAAGCCGGGCCCGGAGCGGTCGGGGGCCGTCCTTGGAGCCCGCCCGAGCGCTGACAGACGCGTCTCGCCCGCAGGGAAGGCGAAGGCGGCCCTGCAGGAGCAATACAGGATGAGTTCCCCAATGGGGAGCGGCTGCTTAGGCAGCACCTCCTCAGGAACTCCCGGTAAGTGGCACGGCTGGAGGGAGGAGGGCAGAGGAGGACGCGGCGGGCGGCGAGCTCAGACCGCTGCTTCTCTTGGCTCGCAGGTGGCCACCAAATGTGTACCCTGGGATCACATCTCCCTGCCAACAGCCTTCAGCACCCCACTGTGTCGGGATGGGCCCGGGCTGCTGGGAGCTAGCACGACAGAAACACCCATGGGGCCAGCAGAACCCGGGGGACTCAGAACCCCGCAAAGGACGATTTGGTTTTGCAGGGACGAAGCGGCCCGAGCTCCTTCCCCGCCCTTGTTTGACCTGCTTTATGATTCAAGTTTTTGGCCGAAGTGGGAGGAGATAAAGGCATGAGTTTACTCGGCCGCTGGCTGCGCTTTTCCCTTGCATAGAACAGTTGGGCCTTCCGCAGGCCCCTTCTACCCTCTTCCAAGCACCAGGTGCATTTTTCACCATCCAAAGTTTGTAAACAAGAGTCGGATGAACTCAAGGAGGCTACAAGGGCCTCCTTCCAGCATGGCTCTGCAGATGCCGAAGCTGCTCTGGGCTCTGCCAGGGCTCAGCTCTGGGCGAGGCTGGGCCCACTCTCCCCTCACATTGCTCTGATCAGCTGAATCACAGGGTGATGAGGAAGGGATACTTCAAAGGAGTTGAGGTTTAACAGTTTTTATTCAAAAAACAAGCATAAAAAACTAGTTGTCCTAGCTAGCATAACATAGTTCTCTTAGCTAGCATAAAAAACTAGCTGTCCTAACTAGCGTAACAAACTGGCTGTGCTGACTTAGCATAACAATCTAGTTGTCCTTGTTAGCATACAAAAATAGCTGTCCTACCATAACAAACTGTCTTAGCTAGCAGAACAAACTAGCTGTCCTAACTAGCATAACAAAAAGCTGTCTTCTAGTGCTGCAACTCTGCCACTCCCTCAGCTGCTTTACTGTGGTGATCAGAGCTGTCAGGCTGGAGAGAGGCCTGGCTGATGATAAAAATGGATGCCGCCCAAAGAATAAAAACTAAAGAAATGAAGCATTGCTTTCCAAACTCAAGCTACTTACAGGCCCAGTTGCAACAGGACAAGGGAGAGTGGTTCTAAACTCAAAGGAGGGTCAGCAGACTCAGATAAGATGTAATGAAAAAATTTTTTACAATGAGTGTGGACTTACATTGACAAAAGTTGCCCAGAGATATGGAAGGTGCCTCACCGCTGCAATCATTCAAGGTCAGGTCAGGCAGGGTTGTGAGCAACCTGATCTGCTTGAACATGGCCCTGCTCATTGTGGGTACCTGGTCCAGATGACCTCGAAAGGCCCCTGCCAATCCAAACCAGTCTAGGATTCTTCCTTCTCTCCATTTGAAAAGCACCAAGACTGCAGATTACAGGATAGACGCCCAACAACAAAACCTCTCCCCTGTGCTGCTGTTTGTCCTGCACTCACCTGCAGCAGCTCCTGGGCAGAGCAGCACTGCTCCTCACCCAGCTCCAGGCTGCACTGAAGAAGTCCTGCAGCAGAGCCCACAGCACCTGGGCCCACAGCTGCACTGCCCATCCTGCCCTATCAGAGCCTGGGGAAAAGCCAACACAGCACTGCACCAGTTCCCTTCACACCCACAGCTGCTCACAGCAACCCGATTCTGAGCTCCAGGGGCAGTGGCCTCCTGGGCAGATACTGCTCACAGATCATTTTTCTACAATAAACAATAAAACCCAAACTCTGATGCATCCACAGCTGCATCCAAATGAGCTTGCACTGACAGCCAATTTCAGTGAGTCCTCTGGGAATTCCCTTCCACCATGTGCACAAACGTCCAGCGGCTCATCCCAGTGCAGAGCCACCCTGGGTACACAGGCCTATGCAAACACTTGGACATCTGCATCTTGCCATGGCCACAGTTTGCTTGAAATAAGGATGTTCTCCTTCCACCCACTGTTGGGTCACTGTCCCACCAAAGGACCAGGTGTCTACCTTGGGGCCATAAGGAGAACCACTCACAATTTCTGGGGCCATCTGATGAGCAGTGGAGCACCATGGAGCTCCGTTGATCCTGCTCGGGGATCAACTGAGTGCAGAAACCAAAATCAGCTGAGGACAAAAACAAACGCTGTCAGAATTAGCTGGAATTAAAAATCCAAGAAAAATAATTCCCTGCTCTAAGTCTGAGAATGCTCTACTGAATCCAGCTGCAAAAATCCTCAGGGCTATGGCCAAGGAAATATGCAACTGGCCACTTAAAGATATTCTCAGGTTTCAGGCAGTGGCTTTTATTTATTCACTTGAAGCTTTAGATTCTAACACATTTCCCTCTGGAAGGGATATACACAATGCAAAGCCCTTCTTGAGACGCTGTTCCTCTGCAGACCTCTCTGCACACTGCAGCTGCTCTCAGCTGGCAGCAGGGTCTGGGCACTCCCACCAGCACCAGTTTTGGGGAACTGGCTGTTACTGGGAAGCAGCACCACACTCACATCCCAGAAACGCTGTGCCTAACCAAGGATACCTACCCTTGACAGTGGTCAGAACACTTGACAGTGCTGTCCATTCCCAGAAGGATGTTGGAGCTTTTCAGATCTCTGTGGATCACCTGGTTCAAATGAAGGAAATCCACGGCTTGCAGATACTGATAGACAACAAGAAACACGAGGGTAAAAATTAACAACCTCAATATACAACAGAAGAGAGTTTATGATTATGCCACTAGCAACTTTACTTTGACCAGCAGGAGTGCAGTGCAGACAAGCTCCAGGCAAAGGGTTCAAGGCAAAGTCGAGAACAGCAAATAAAATCAAAAGAGAGAGAGATGAAGTACAACAACAGTATGGAAGAGTACTAGAAGAGAGCAGAAGTGCAGGGATACTGACAGGCGGTTCATTTAACATTCATGTTCATATGCCCTCTCTCTTTTCCAGGGCATAAAAACAACACAGAAACAAAGCTCTGAGCATGAAGTCACTTCAGTTCTCACCATCTCTTTCGAAGGACCATCATGTCCAAGCCATGGACAGCAATTCTGGTTCTGTGAAAATAGAGCAAAGCAACTGGGAAGGGGTTTGGTCATTATTTCAAGTGACACTGCTGCTGTTTGGGAATGCATAACAGAGCAAACATGCAGCGTACATTACTAATATGATCACTGTCACCAGACAATGTCACTGACACCAGACCTAAACACAACTGTAGGGTTTAGGAGAGAGCTTTGCTCTTGACTTCTCATTTCTCTCTCTCTCTCTATGAATTTGCTGCAGGAGGACTAAAACCCAAAACTGATCCCAAGCAAGATCTCTCCTTATTTGGGTCTTGCAATATCCTTGGAAGATGAAATGCAAGATGGAAAAAATGCTAAAGAATGTTACTCTCCTAACCTGGGACTAAGATAAATTTGGCCTCAATAATGGCAGTCTCCACCAGGTGATGTATTAACATTTCTAGAGATTAAGACCACACCAGCGTGTCCTACTCTGAAAGATATCACTGCCTTCCAGCAAAATACCTGGCCGTTGCTTGTGTAGAAGTCATCGACTTGAACTTACCCCTTGGCCAACTGGCTCAACTTCAGGGTGTTTTCTTGGCAGGCTCGCCCATGCTCACAGTGTTCCCTGAAAGAAACAACAGGAAAGGTGGTCACTCCAAGATGGAGATCCCGCCTTCCACAGAGCCAAAATGCAGCCCCACTCTCTGGGGCTCTGAGCCCTTTGTACTCAGGTGGGCAAGAGCAATAAACATTCAGCTGCAGAGGAACAGTGAGTACAACTGATGCTCAGACATGCACACCACACTCTGCTCTGGCAGACAAGACAGAGAGCAGACATACTCAGCTGCATCAGGCACCTCTATCCTCTCCCCTTTGGCTGCAGGGCTGTGCTGCTGTCAGAATGCTCAGCCCATGATGCCTCCACAGAGGGAGGTTTACTGTCCTCTTCCCAGACAGATGATGGTTCAACGTCCTCTTCCCAAAATGGTGGCGCTTCACCATCCTCTTCCCAAACAGTGGGACACTCATGGTGCTCTTCCCATGCAGAGAGATGTAGATATTCGCCCTCTTCTTCCCACGCCACTGGATGCTCCCCATCCTGGTCCCACGCCACTGGATGTTTGCCCTGCTCTTCCCACACTGCGAGATCTTTGCTGTCCTTCTTCCTGCACCGCAGATGTTCCCACTCCTAATCCCACACCACAAGACATCCACCATCGTGGATCCACACAGCTGGAGCTTTGCCATCATCTTCCAGAAAGGTGGGAAATTCACTTCAAGAACCATGGGAAGTTCACTGTCCTCTCCTAGAACAGAGGGAAGTTAATTTTGTTCTTCCTCTCCAGCCTTCTTGTCTTTCTCCTATTTAGCCTCCTCTTTGGAGACAGACAGCTAGAGGAGACTGTGATGCAGCTTCTGTGTTTTGTGGACAGACAGTAGCATGAGGGACAGGAAGCTGTATCACATTGAGGGCCTTATTTATGCTCAGCTACACATCCAGCTGCACTAAGGAGAAACAGCATTCTGGGGTGCTCAAACTAACAGTTGGCTAAAGTAGATATTTCCACTTATGGTTGTGAATTAAATACTCCACTATGGCTAAAACCAGCATGCAATCTTCTGTCTGCAAAATCATTCCTGCATCTGTTCAAAAGCTCTTCAACAGAAAAGGAGAAAACAGTCAGGGGTCCCTTAGCTTCTGCTGCTGCAAAGACACTGACAGGAACTTTCTGTCAGCCCACCAGGCTGGAAGTCGACTGCAATACACCAAAGGTTCTTTCCACTCACCGGAGGAGATTCTCGGTAGCCACGGGTTAGATGCCCTGCAACGAGAGAAGGAAAATTAACCAGATGATGTCAAGAAAATAAACTGTGCCGGAAAATCCCACGCAACAAGGCAAACCCGAAAGAGAGCGTTCTGCTTTCATAATATCCCTCCTGGAGTCCTGTCATCGAAACCGCCGCTGCACACACGGGGACAGCGACCACCCCCCCGGGAACGCACAGAGCATTGAAGCCCGCCATGAGCTCGGACACGCACAGCCCTGTGCGCCCGCAAACACACACACGGAGCCCCGTGCCCTTCCACACTCACACACACCCCGGTGCTTTCGCACACGCTCACACGGAGCCGCTCCCTCCCACCTCCCCAGGCACGCACCTCCGGGTCCCCCGCTCCGCTCGCGCACAGCAAGCTCAGCGCGCCCCGCTCAGAGCCCACACCAGCACGGACGCTCGCCCCACACTCAGGCGGCAGAACCGGCCCCCAGTGCGCCCAGCGGGGCAGCCCCGACACCGCAGCCCCACATCCTCCACACCCCGTCCCGGTGCCTGCACGGAGAGCCCCCCAAACGCGGAACCTCCCCACAGTCCATCACTGCTCCCGCACAGCGGGGACCCCGCTCCTCACCCAGAGCGGCCGCTCCCGTGTCACCCCCTCGGCTGCCCCCACAGCCCTCCCCTGCCACCGCGGGAACCTCCCCGCTGCATCCCCGCACCAGCGGCCCGCACCCGCCACCGCCCGGCCCCAGCGGCCACCACAGCAGCTACGCGTGGTGTCGCTCAGGTCGCAGCCGCTGCCGGGGAAGTCGCGCAGCTTCCTCCCGCTCAGGCACAGGATGCCCGAGCTGCCCGCCTCCTCCAGGGCCCGCTCTAGGCTGCACACCGTGTGCTACTGCAGCAGAGCTACCGCGCCCCAGTGCGACCTGGACGAGGAGGAGAGAGTAAGGTGCGCGGGGATGCCGAGCCCCGCCGCTCCGCTGCCGGGCGCCGGCCCGGTGCCGATGCCCGTGCCGTTGTTGCCGCCGCCGCCCCCCTGCCCGGCCGCCATCTTGACCGGCCCCTCCACAACAACGGCCGGGGCCGCTGCGCAGGAGCCGCGGGGCCCGCAGGGGGCGCCGCGGGCCGGGGCGGGGCTTCGCCTTGCCCTCGGCAGCGACAACCAATCCGCGGCGCCAGCGGCGATCAGGGGGCGGGGCTTCCCGAGGAGGCGCGCGGCTGTGTGCGCGGGGCTCCTGGGCCGCTAGGGGGCGCTGCCGGGGCCGAGGGACCGGGATCCTTTTGGCAACGGGGGCAGCCCGGCAGGGATGGTCCCGTAGCCGGGACGGGAGCGGGCGCCGGGGCCGTCTTTCGGGACGGCGCAGCCCTGCTGGGAGGCTTCGGAGCCGCAGGAACACGGGGAACGTCGTCTCGGCAGCCCCGGCGCCGCTGCCGCGGGGCCCCTCGGCTCTGCCCGCTGCCCTCAGGCACCGCTCGGCCTTGCGGTCGCCTCTGCCCCGGCACCGCACAGCATCGTCCGCTCCTCAGGGCCGCAGCTCTTCTGCGCCGGGAGCATCAGGGCCTCCGTGGCCTCTGCCTCGCAAACACGGCCTCCGGCAGAGCCGGCCACGGATTGCGGATCCCCCGCGAGTGGCAGCGACAAAAATCACCCAGCAACCGTCCGTGGCACAACAAAGGGAAAATGAGCGAGCCGCTCACCCTGAAATGGGTGAAGGAACACTCACAAAAACCCCACAGACACGAATGCCCGTGGCTCAGAATGTGAAAGGCCACTGAGGACACAGAAATCACAAGCCCGTTGCAAGGTCCAGGGCCCAGTTACCTGAAGAAAATGCTACAGAACTCCTGCGATACTGGATGGATGGATAACTGCCTCCTCTACCATGTAATCAGGCCTTGTTAGGTACTGCATATTTCTCTTCCAACAATTGCTCTGGAGATGTGATCAGGAAATGCAAAGAAAGCCCCGTAGATCCACATTTTTATGCAATTCCTGTGGGTTTGTAAGCAGAATCAGCTTTTAAGCCTTGAACCTCAAGGAGACCCATGCATTCTTTAATTGGTTTGGGTTTAATTTTGCATGCATATGTCATGCCTAATTTGGGGATCTAAAGGCAAATTCCCTCTATAGGGGTTATGGAAGAGGCTGGCCTTCAGCCAGCAACGTGTCACTGAGAGACAGTTCACCTATTATTGATCACAGAAGGACCAGACCAGAAATATTATGTGGGTGATGTCTGGGAGAAAATTTTGCCCCGGAAGGCAACGGCTGTTTGCTACTTTTCCAAGCAGCAAGAGCACTGAGAAGTGAAAGTGATTCCGAAGGAGCTCTTTGGCTGCTCATGTGCTCTTCGCTGCATAGCGATCGCAAGCCAGGTGCCCTGCGGCTTCGTACATCGTGTTCTACCGTCCGG